TTTTGATGGACCTCATAGAGAATAATAAGCTTGTACCTAATGATAATAAAACGACCAGTTCAGAGGTAAGAGTGGCTCTTGACTGGTATGCCTAGTTGACATGTAAAAGTCGGCAACTTTGAATGGAGATAGCATACCCAGACCACCACAGGCACTCCTTTCCCCGAGCTACCACACGGCGACATATGATGGCCAAGCGTACCCCCCCTCCTCCGACCCACGGAACCGACGACCTCGACACCTACTCGACTCTATCGAGTTGGGACGCCGTTCGGGTCATCATCTAGAAGGCCAAGCGGTCCCCGGTCGAACACGGTCGTTAAACTTTTATTGGTTTTTGGGGACGACGGTGGTTGGGTTGTGTGGGTCGATTGCACTCGTGGTGTCTCTTGCGACGACGCGCAAGGTATGAAGTGTCTAGGGAGGTAGTCGGTCTTAAAATAGCGCAGGTGTGAACGGACATTTGGGTTAACTGCGCTACCCACGTGCGTCCACGGAGTGCACTGTGTTTCGAATTCGCGCTTTGCGCTGGGCTTGTCACCGATGTGAATGGGTCAGATTTCAGATGGGGATCCCATGCCGCACGGATTCCCTTCGGTCCAGTATAACCAAGGAGTGGTATCAGTGGTAAAGGTGAACTCTCCCTCACCACCAAGATGGTTCTAGTCGAGGACAATGTACCGAGTTATGATAGCGTGGTGAATGGGACCCACGACGTTCAGGAACCCCGTCCGCCTCCCATCGCCCACCTCGACGAACAACTCCCAAGCTACTACGCGGCCACCCACGCACACGCACACCCACGACCTGTTGTTATACGCTCTGATCTCGGAATGGCACGGTCTCAGATGCGAGTTATACGTCGTACTAATCGGATGAGTGTGTGTTGTTGTGTGGTTATTTTGGCGGGTGGGATGATTGGTGGTATCATCCTCGCCTCGTCCCTCTCCAAACGGTAGCCAGTCTAGCCAGTCTAGCAGCAGTGTTTCAGTGGTGACTCTTGCCCGACGGCACGGAAAGGGGGGCAGGGTTGTGAGGCTGGGTTCCCTAGTCAGGGCGCTTGCCTCCCATTCAATCCCCAATATTAACGCGTTGTGCTTGACGACACTGCAACGAAATATTGGAAAAAGATGGAAGACGAGAAGAGATGGGGACACTATATAACACGGCGTACGAGTACCAGTACGACTGATACTCTCCTCCTCTCCCTCCGACTATCCTCACCTCAAGCAAGGGTTTAACAGTCTTGGATTAAAAGGATAAATATTGGGATTATCGACATGAATAGAGCACCGACGATGGCCACTCTTCCTCCCTACGAGGACCCTAGTTTTGCAAGAATGAGCGAGACCCCCGTACCCAGCGGTTCACGACCAGTACGTCCATCAACTACATTATCAAATAATTTGACTGATTTATTGCAGACATTGACTGCTCCCTCGAGGGCTCGAGCGAGTCCTCCTCCTCCGAGCTTTGTCACCCTCGACAACCGAGCCTCACAGAACCCGTCTTGGCCTACCACCAACCACATTCACTTTCAGAATGCTACTCGACCTGGACACCCACGGCGTACCTCGAGCGACTCCAGCGACTCTGATTTGGAGAGGGGACGACCGAGTGAGGAGAGACCGAAAGAAGTGCGGTTGTTGACGACGATTGCACGGTTGCCTACCAAGTTTGGAGTGGGCAAGGCAAAGGAGCCGGAGAATGTATCCTTGTTGGGGAGCACCAATAATACTAGTACTCACCACGCTCATCACTTTGGAAATCCGACACCGCACAACTCGCTGCCCGTCACTTTGAATCAGCCCAAAGTCGAGACGGGTGATGTGGTTCTCGCCCCTCCGACGTGGAACCACGATAACAAGGGCAGGTTACAGCGAGCCAAGACGAGGAGGATCGTCACTGTAGGCAGTTGGTCGTGCATGATCCTCGTTGGACTGCTCACCGTCGGCTTTGTCGTCGGTGTTGTTCTCCTCATCGTCCGATTCGCAGTCAACGCATCCGGTTAACCTCAGCACTCTTTTTTATTTTTTGGACAATGGCTACATCTCACTTTGTTATTATTATTCCGGACATGTATTATATAATTTTTCCGTTCCGAATGTACCGAAAATGGCGATCGACATTTTACCATAAACGTCTCGAGTTGAGGTTGAGGCTGGGCATTGTTCTTCGGCGGAACAACTCGAGTGTCGCGACGCTTGTCCAAAAAGGATAAAGCAATAGAAAAGGGACACCGCGGCCAGTCGGGACCCCGATCACTGACACCACCTGCCCCCGTGTTCGCCCCATATGACCCAACGTCTGTACAGATCTTTCCCTTGGAGCTGACCATTCTCGTTCTATCCCTCTAGGCCTCTCTCGACTCGACACTCCCCTCTCCCTTAAAAGTCACTAGACTTTTGCCTGTCTTTCTCTCTACCTACCATCCCAGTGTTTAGTCACGCGCCGCAGTCAGAGTTTGAGCCTTGTCGATCGTCAACGCGGCCGACAACCTTTTTACCCTTCCTCGTTTGTAGCGTTGGCCAAGATCTTGAACGAATTTACTAGGGCAGAGCCCACCCCCTCCTCACCTCTCACTCCCACCTCTCCCCTCTCCCTCTCCTCTTTGGCTCCCAGCACCCTCCCCACGACCCCAACGCCCCCCACGACCCTGACCAATACCGTCACCGAAAAGAAATCAACCCTCAAAAGGACTAGGAATTTTTACTTGGATCCTAATCAAACCACTCTCGGTCCCCTCGATTCGCCGGTCCCTCTCAATACCCTATCACAGTAGGTCGCGTTTCCTTTTTCTCATTCACAAACTTGTTGTCATTCAAGTTTTATTGCGTTTTGCGTGGCGTTTCGACGATGTGCTGACAGACGCCCTCTAGGCCCAAACCCAGTCGATCACACCACCGCCGATCCTCGTCTATTCACCACCAATCCGAGCTCTATCTCAGCATGACCCGTTCTCGATCTGGCTCGTTTTACTGCGTCGTAGAGCCTAGCTGGGCTCCCCTCTCTATCGCTCAAAAAGCCGCCATCTCCACGGCGCCTTCCACTCGCACACCACCACCAACATCAACGCCATCTTCTCAAGGTACATTAGCTCGGCAGAGAAGGATGGAAGGGCGATCAGTGGAGCCCTCGCCCTCGGTGGAGATGATCGCCAGTCCCGGGTCACGTCATCACCACCACCAGCGCTCACCCGCCTCCTCGTCCCTTTCATCCATCACCAATTCTCTCCGCAACGTTGTGCCATTCCAGCACAAGGAGAGAACGACAATGATGGTGGTGGTGT